TAGCGTAGGCTTAGCTTAGGCTAGCTTGGCAAGCGGCTTAGCAGCTTAGGCTTAAGCTAGGCTCAGCTTAGGCAGCGTGGTAAGCGGCTAGGCTTAGCTTAGGCTTAGCGTAAGCAGCTTGAGGCTTAGCTTAGGCTTAGCGTAGGCTTAGCTTAGGCTTAGCTTAGGCTTAGCGTAGGCTTAGCTTAGGCTTAGCTTAGGCTTAGCTTAGGCTTAACTTAGGCTTAGCTTAGGCTTAGCTTAGGCTTAGCGTAGGCTTAGCATAGGCTTAGCTTAGCCTTAGCGTAGGCAACAAGCTTAGGCTTGAGCGTCAGGCTTAGCTTAGGCTTAGCTTAGGCTTAGCTTAGGCTTAGCTTAGGCTCTGCTTCGACTTTACCTAAGCTTTCAGATTTTCATCGCCGAAATGTTATACCCGGATTTGCATGAGGATTTAAAAGTGAGTGCATTTGGCCTGGGACGCCTATTGGTGCGCGTTTTATCGGCATCTTCTAGACTTGCTGGGAAATCTATCGAAAATCACGCAACTACGAGACGCTTTTCATCTATGAAGCCTGTGTGCGGAACGTCATGGGATTCCGGCGGAACGTCGAGCATCTGAAGATTATGCCAAAGGTGGGCAGGCTTGCAGAGAGCATTTAGGAATGTTACCAATTCCAGGGCACCTCCTGGGTGCGGGATATCTGGCTGACAGACTCTCGGTGGAGCCGCGAGCACGACTTCATGCTCCACGCCCTCCAGCAGCAGAGGAGACTCGCCTTCAACTCGAATATGGTGGACCGGGCAAAGTAGGGTGTTTCAGAAATGGCATTTGTTGGCTTGTAAGTTTGGGCTTAGGCTTAGACTTAACCTAGGCTTGACTTAGGCTTAGGCTTAGGCTTAGGCTTATGCTTAGGCTTAGGCTTAGGCTTAGGCTTAGGTTTAGGCTTAGGCTTAGGCTTAGGCTTAGGCTTAGGCTTAGGCTTAGGCTTAGGCATAGGCGTAGGCTTAGCTTAGGCTTCGGCTGCTCAGGGATGCGAATGCAACGTTTTATAGCTCATTTCAAAGCCCTTGATCAGCCGGATCGAACGGTACCACTTATCAGCCGACGTAATAAAAGCTAAGCCCGCTAAGCCGACTTATGTCTTTCGGGGCAGCCCAAAAATTGCAAAGCGCTGTAACTTTGCGCTGGAAACTCAAATCGTCGATCTGAAACCTGTTCTGACATGCTAAAGAGCTGCCCAATCTACCCTGAAAATTTCAAAACCGGAAACTTAATTCTAAGGGTATCGACTTTTCCCGGGTGGTCGAATAGAACCTCGGGCTTGGCCACCCGGAATTGCCAAAATCGCGCGGAAGCGGGCTTAGGCTTAGGCTTCGGATTGGGTTTAAGTTGCTTCATTTAGTATGGGCTCCAAGCATCTCCATTACTACGACCCGTTCCTGCCGAATGCAAATTGGACCGGATGCGCCGACCCGGAGTTTAAGTGGCCGCTCGATGAGCGGTTGATCGTAAGTTTTTGCGCAAATGATCTCTGCTAGCTTGGATGAGATCTTGCGGGATTTTGGCTGTCGGCATTTTCGATTTTCGAATATTGGTTTGTCTGTATTTTCACTGTCGTGAAAATCTTGCTCTAAGTTTGGAATCTAGGTTCTGGACTGTTAGCGGGAGGAGCCTAAATTTTTTCCTGTGATTCTCGAAGGCCGCATAACTAGATATAAACCATTTTTGGAGCATTTTACATAGTTTTTGGCTATAAAATAATATACAAAAGTGTAAAAATTTTGGAAATTTTTGGACTTTTTGCTCAAAAATGTATGAAAAATAAACAAAAAAAGTTTTCGAATTTTCAAAGTTTTAAAAATATTTTCTGTAGCTTTTCAGCCATCAAAAACTATTAAAAAACTATAAAAATATAGAATATGAATCAACAGCTAGGTACAGGTGGCAAAATAGTAAGTGGATTTCCCCCTGCTACACCCGCTCACCCTCTCCCCCCCCCGCTAACAGTCAAGAACCGAAATCCCAAATGATCACTGCTAGCCTGCCCCATTCAGGTCGCGAACGAAGTGATCACCTCCACCCTCCAGCGCCTCAAAAAGCAGACCGAAAAGGAGCGCTGGAAAATGGCGGGCAAGGTGGAAAAATGGGTATATTAAACGATAACGTATGCTACCGTATCCGGCCGTAATATTTGTAATTTTTAGTGCTTTTAATTCAACTTAAATTTCAGTAAAATTTTGACTTTTTCGAGTCTTTTTTAAAACAAAATCCGGGTTAATTCCTAGAGCTTTAGCGCCCTGATTTTTTGTCCAATTTGACGATTTTATATTTGTCATTTTTGTGATTTTCAATCTATTTAATTGTGATAAATTTCATACAAATTGCTTGCTACAATTTATTTCACAAAAAAAACACCAAAAAAAAAATGGAGGAACCACCAGAAAAAACGAATCGACTGAAGAAGAGTTAGAAATCTGCAAAAAAAAACGATAAAAATTCTCGGCATATCAGGAAGGAAAATCGGAGTAAAATTGGGTTAATTGAGACTAGCATTATATGAAAAGAAATTGCCCTGAAAAAAAACTAGAAAAAACGAGAACAAAAAAAATCGTAATTTCAAGTTCTTGGGTTGACCGGAGTGTTGTGGAATAATCTGTGTGATGTAGGAACCAGTGGATTTGGGGGGGCTACCAGTTTAGAGGGGAGGGTTGAGTTGCTAGAATACACTTAGAAACGGGGGACAGGAAAAGGTTAGGCTTAGCTGACTTAGCTCAGGCCTAGGCTTAGGCTTAGGCTTAGGCTTAGGCTTAGCTGACTTAGCTCAAGTCTAGGCTTAGCTTAGGCTTAGCTTAAAGTCAGCTGAGGCTTAGCTTAAAGTTAGCTTGGGCTTAGCGTAGGCTTAGCTTAGGCTTAGGATTGGCTTAGGCTTAGACCTATGCTTAAGCTTAGGCTTAGGCTTAGGCTTAGACTTAGCTTGGGCTTAGCTTAGGCTTAGCCGTAAAATTCAGTGAGATCAGAAATTTAGCCAAAACAGGATAAATATTGACTAGATAAAAACTCTTACTGGCTAGTTGGAGGTCATTTCTGGGTGCAAATCACAATCTGTTTTTTCCACACAAAAAACAAACATAAATTAGACAGCTCTGAATAATTTCCATAAATTACCATCAAATTCCCATACTTGCATATTAGCAATTTAAATTAAAAGTCGTATGGGGAGAATTAAAGCGGGCAGCGGGGGAAAAACTGGCAAGTGGAAGAGAGAGAGAGAAACAGCAATATTCTCAAAAAAAACGGATATTAGAATCTGGCGAAAAACCGCGTTTTTAGGGGTTTAAAGGGCATGGAAAGGGAAATGAAGAAAAGCGAGAAAAATGCGAAAATATGGCAAAATACAGCGAAAAGCAAGAATATCTTACAAGGAGTCGTTTTTAGGTGATATTGGAGTTTCTGAGCGAGACCTAGCTAGTTCGATAGAGAAAAAAATTCTGAGCAAGATGTCGTTTTCCAAATCTGCTAACCGTGTATTGTCTTCGATAAAAATTAATTTGAATGAAAAAGTTCCGTGGCGCCACGCTGCCACAGATGGATCAGGCCCGGGACATAGGCAGCAATGCGAACCAGCATCCGCATGAGATCGTGGCCTAGTGGATAGTGCAGGCGCCTATCAAGCTTTTGCAAACTTATGCTCGGAGTTCGGAACTTTTTTTGATTAGCTGTTTTGCTTTTTCGTTTTAAACGCTATTGTGGTCATATTTGGCATCACAGAGCAAAAAGCAAAAGAGTTTCACTAGCTAGGAGTCGAACCCGAAGGCAAAAAAAGATAAAACTTATTAGGCAAGTGCACTACCAATATGCCACGCGATCATGGCGGTCCATGGGTCTGAAGGGGGCTATGTTCACGCGCACCCCCAGAGGCAAAACTGCGGATCAGGTGACAATGATGGCGAAATTAATGATTTTCAAATTAGTTTTTATCGAATACAATACACGGTTAGCAGATTTGGAAAACGACATCTTGCTCAGAATTTTTTTCTCTATCGAACTAGCTAGGTCTCGCTCAAAAACTCCAATATCACCTAAAAGCGACTCCTTGTTAGAAAATGCGGAAAAAGGGCGAGTTGGAGGTCAAAAGGGGAAAGGAGAAAATTCCGAAATGGTCTCTGCTAGCTTTCCTTTCAGAGGAACTTGGAGAAAATTAGGGAGCAAGAGCGCCTTATTGGATAGGCTAGGCTCAGGCTTAGCTTGGCTTAGGCTTGGGCTGAGGCTTAGGCTTAGGCTTAGGCTTAGGCTTAGGCTTATGCCTGTCCTTGCCGAGCCTCACTCGTCTCCGGCTCGTCCTCCATCTCCTCGTCCTCATAATCTGAGAAATCGTCATCATCCTCATCGTCCAGCTCGCCCTCCTCGGCCACGTCGACGATGACGTCGTCCTCAATTTCGGCCATCTCCGGCATGTCGCCGAGTTCTTCGCCCATTGCTGTCTAAAAAATATGCTTAGGGGGTCCATTTCCCAAATTATCTCTGCTAGCCTGCCCTTTCCTAAAGAATCTCTGCTAGCCTGCCCTTTCCTAAAGAATCTCTGCTAGCCTGCCCTGCCTATTCCTTAAATGTCTCACCTCATTCCTCCTCCTTCCCCGTTCCGTCAGGCAACGACTCCTAGATGTAGATGGCATCTTCAGGGCCGCATCCCCATCAGAGAGAGTTCTAAAGGAACTCAAATTTAAAGGAGACTCAGGAATTTTTGAACGTAAAACGCAACACGCCAATCACCAAAAACAATGCATTAGAACTAAAAAATGGCATGCAAGACCACGCGGGCGATACCCACTCCTTTTCGCGGCGCTCCCGCTCCGCCTCCTTTTCGGCTCTACAAGATTATGGAAATTGCTCTCTCTCTCTCTCTCTCTCTCTCTCTCTCTCTCTCTCTCTCTCTCGCTCTCTCTGACTTTGGCGCGTACCGCCTCATTCTATGACGTAATTGATTGCGATGGAATATTTCATTCAATTATTTTGAATCTTACCTCCTCGCGTCCCTCGCCTTCTGGAAGATGCTCTTTCCGGCTTTGGCTTGGTGTCTGGTCGACATGTGGCGCGTCAGGACGTCTCGACGACGCTGAAATGATGGAAATTAGCATACGGGCTAGCAGTTATTCCTTAGGAAAGGGCAGGCTAGTGGATATTCTTTAGGAAAGGGCAGGCGAGCAGAGGTTCTTTAGGAAAACTCACCGCTGCATACGGGCATATGGTGCACTGATACGGCTTCTCGTCGGTGTGCGTCCGCCGATGGGTGCGCAGGTGGTCGGACCTGGAATGAGAAATTAGCTCGGGAGGGCGGGCTACGGTAGCCTGGGGCGGAGCTTAGTAATGAGGTCTACGAGAAGCCGATTGGTTGCTAGGGGATAACTTAGCCTCGACTTAGGCTTAGGTTTAAGCTTAGGCTTAGCTTAGGCTTGGGCTTAGCTTTCGGCTTAAGCGCTAAAAACGCACCTCGAAAACCATCGTCCGCAGCTGTCGCAGTTGAACGGCTTCTCGCCGGTGTGGCGTCGGAGATGGCTGGAATTCGTGATTTAAGGATGCCCATAGGCGTATCTTAGCTTACAAAAATGCTAGCTTAAGCATAGGCTTCACTGTGGCTTATCCCCCTTCATTTCTAGTCTGCCCCCTTCCCCCGTGCAGGATTCGATGCAGAATTCCACGTATTCCGCCGCGCTCCTCCTCCCATCCCACGCCGCCCCCGGAATTCCCGCGCTGATAAGATCCGGCGCTAGACCGGCGTTTCGCGGAAAAACCCGGAAAAGCGCGACCCCCAAGACCCGTGACTCGAGTGTCGAAAATGGTGAGATAATGGGGTTAAGGGTGTAGTGTGCATGTGAATTGGAAGGGAGCCAAAAACTGCGAGGCTCTGTGTCGCAAAAGATCTCTGCTAGCCTGCCTTTTCCTAAAGAATCTCTGCTAGCCTGGCCTTGCTCTTCCTCTCTCTCTCTCTCTCTCTCTCTCTCTCTCTCTCTCTCGCTATCACAAACCAGTTACGCCATTTAAAAAAAAACTAAAAACACCTACCGAGATAAAATATCTGGCCTCCGGAAGTCCTTTTTGCAAAAATTACACCAGTACTGCTTGTTGGGGTCATCATCGTCAGCGCCTAAAAATGAGCATGAATTCCGTCGCTCCGTCGTTCTCTCGCGCGCTCGGTCTCTCTCTCTCTCTCGCTCTCTCGATCTCTCCTACCTGTCAAACTTGACAGCGAAGGTGATTTCAGCTCGCTAACCAACGACAGCGGCGATTTCGAGACCTCAGAAGGGGCAGACGGGGCTGGGGGCGAGATTTCTGAAATCAGAAATAATTCCAACGCTCGAGCAGGCTGGAGCAGGCTAGCGGAGATCATTGCGGAAAGTTCAAAACTTACGTAAAAATACCGTACTGGCTGTAGTTGTGGCGGGACTAGAAAGTGACGGCGAGAGCAGGGGGTGCCTTGGTACTGCCGCGTACAGTGAGGTCCATAACTGCTGAAAGAGAAGGGATCCAGAGAGAGAGAGAGAGAGAGAGAGAGAGAGAGAGAGAGAGAGTGAGAAAGTGCCCAACCGTAGCTTGAGCCTGAGCCTGAACTTGTGCAGCTTTTTGAGCGGCCAGTAGAGCTTCGATAGATTGAGGGCCCGGAGGTGGCTGCTGGACTTGTTGGTGTTGCTGAGCTGCTACTGCTACGAGGTTCTCAGCAAGGGAGACGCCGGGGAGGGACTCACTGCGAGCGGCTATTAACTAAAACCAGGAAATTAACGAGAGAGAGAGATAGAGCGAGAAAGACAGCGAGAGAGAGAGAGAGAGAGAGAGAGAGAGAGAGGGAGAGAGAGAGGGAGAGAGAAAGAGAGAGAGAATGAGAGAGAGAGAGAGAGAGAGAGAGAGAGAGAGAGAGAGGGGGGGGAGGGAGAGAACGAGGCCACAAACTCACATGTGGACTCAATTGACTAGCCGTCTGAATCACCGATGTCTTCCGCTCAAGCCGAGGGTGAGTTCCGGCTAAAATACACTAATAGATATAGTAATCAACATTAAAGTACAGTAACCAGCCCCTTTAAAGGGAGAGCGACAAGAAAAACAAGAAACACCTGTCGTGACCACCGTAGGGATGGAGGGTACGGTAGAGGCCGATTGGGCAGAGATGGCATTTGGGGACAAGGCCAGTGGTGAGGGCGGGACCGAAGTTTCCCCCCGGACTTTGCTCAGGACCTAAAGTGGCTAGGCTTAGGCTTAGCTTGGTCTTGGTTAGGTTTGGGCCTAGAATCAGACTTAACTTAGGCTTACTCGTGGCTTAGAATTAGGCTTCGCTTAAGCTTAGTTTAGGCTTAGCTTAGACTTAGGCTTAGCTTAGGCTTAGGCTTAAGCTTTTCAAGTTTCTTAAGACGCTCACAAACCTCAGAGAGCCTCGTCGGGTCCTTGCGACAATTGCCGGGCAACTCGAAGGCGGACGTCGTCGAGAATTCGGCGGTTGGGGCCGACTTCCGCTCGAGTACTGTAAACGAGCGATTTTCGGGATTGGGCTTAGGGCTCGGCTCAGGCTTTGGCAAACATAGGCATTTTTAAAGCAGAGTTCTGGAATCGAGTCGAACCTTCAGAAATGGAAGGTCGTCCTCAAACCGGCCAAGTGCCATTTTGTCCCCCCCCCCCCCATTTTTTGCAATTTCAGAGATCCCCCAAGGCTGCCGGGCTGCTAAAGCCGCTTTTCGGCCGCCTACGTCGCCGCCGAATCCCCAGCCGAAATCCCCGGATTCTGGACATTTGTCTGATTTTCTGAGTCGCATAGACGGAGATCGGTGATGGGCTGGGATTTTCAACAACAAATATAACAGGCGGATTTTAGCCGAGAAACGCTGCAAAAAAATTGGCTGCTCGCCAAGAAGTGTTGAAAAATTCCCAAACGGTTTCTGCTAGCCTGCCTTTCCCCAAAGAATCGCTGCTAGCCTGCCCTTTCCTAAAGAATCTCTGCCAGCCTGCCCGGCTTTGCTTTTAAAGGAACACTGAAGTCCACTCACGCGGTTTCTTGAGTAGATGATCAAACGTGAATCTTGTGCACCGCGTTGCATGGCCAGGGGTCGGGGTTGAGAATGCGGACGAATCATAGAGTTGGAGTGGTGACAATCCTGGTGGTGAGATGGCGAGTGAAGGCGACAAGCCGTTGGCTACGTGTTCTGAAAAAGGTTTTCTTGCTCTCTCTCTATCTCTCACTCTCTCTCGCTTTCTCTCCCGCTTCTCTCTCGCTCTCTCTCTCCCCTCTCTTTCCTCTATCTCTCTCCCCTCACTCACGCAAAAAAGCGGCGCCCGGTGGGCTCTGCAGCCCGATCCCAGAATCGGACGACGAGGACGAGGTCCGCTCGTGGCGGTACTGTAGCCACTTGTCGTGTAGCATTGAGGTGGATGCGGCTCGGGAATGTTCTGTCTGAAAATGGCGTATTAATGGGAGGTTTACAGGGGTATCGAGAATACGCGTTAGACTAGCTTAGGCTTAGCTTACGCTTAGGCTTAGGCTTGGGCTTAGGCTCAGACTTGGCTTGAGCTAAGGCTTAAGCATAGGTTAGGCTTAGACTGACGCTTAGACTTAGGCTTCGCTTAGGCTTAATTTAGGCTTAGCCTGGCTTAGGCTTAGCTTAGGCCGGGGCTTGAGTACAGTAAGCTCATAAGGAAAGTTTGTAAGCTCAGCTGAAGCCGGCCGACGCTAAGCCCAAGTCTAGGCCGTTTTGGCAAGGATCCCTCAAAAGCAAAAATCTGGACCCCGCCAGCGCCTACACTTTTCTTTGCTAATCCCACCACCCGGCGGTCATCATTCCTTGAATCCCCTCAAAAAACGAGAGAGAAAGAGAGAGAGAGAGGGAGAGAGAGACAGACAGACACTGTCACCAGGAAACAATCGGAAAATTGGGCGATAAATGTAACGAAAAAGCAGAATCAACAGATTACCCCCTAATCCCCTCGCATCAATTACGCATTTTGTTGACAGCGCCCAACAAAGAAAAAATAAAAAAGCAAAAAAGCCTGGAGAGTACGGTGGAAAAGAAGAGGCGGATAATCCCCCTCGCCTACACTAATTGAAAACCACCTCCAAACGATCGGCAAAAAAATTTTTGCGGGAAAATTGGGCGGATTATCACGATTTCCGTGTTTGCGGATTTGCGCGCCGCTTTTTTATTCATTTTTATTGGATAATTAATCGTGTGATTTTCGCGACGTCAAACGGGGATTAGGATGAAGCGGAAAATGAGGTGATTTATGTCCGAAGTTTGCAAATTTTTGCCCCTTGATTGGTGAATTTTTGGGAGATTAGCACAAAATTTGCAAAAAACTACGCAACACTCCGGTAATAAGAATCCCTAGAAATTTTTGGAGCGTCATTTGTTGCAACACTTACTCTGGAAGTCGTAAAGCTCACAAATTTCATGTCATAATCGAATCTCTCGGTTCTGATCTGCCTTTAAAAGATTTTGAAAGGAGAGAGGAAGAGAGAGAGAGAGAGAGAGAGAGAGAGAGAGAGAGAGAGATGAAGCGAAAGAGAAAAATAGAGAGAGAAAGAGCAAGAGAGAGCGGGTGAGAGAGAGAAATAGAGAGGGAGAGAGAGAGAGAGAGCGAGGCTTAGAATTAGACTTAGACTTAGGGAAAGGCTTAGGATTAGGCTTAGAAGCAGGCTTTGTCTCAGCTTAGGCTTGGGCTTATGCTTAAGCTCAGGCTTAAACTTAGGCTTAGCCTGGTCTCGAACTTAACCCCCTTGCAAGCCCCTTAAATACCTTCCCCATTTCCATAGAAACAACCAAATACCGTAAATAGCGACAAACGACTACAGTATCGGTTTATTTAGCCGGTTGCCCGGAAACACCGCCACAAATTTGGATGGAAATAGACAAAAGACGCAAAAAGTGATGTCAGAAAGTTCGTCGGCGCTCGCAAGTGACGGCAGCCGGGTTTCTAATTAGCATCCGTCGTCCTTTTGCCGAAAATTGAGTACGGTATGCCGGAATGGACGGAATGGCTGGCCGGGCAAGCCCGGCCAGCCGCTCCGATTGAAAAGCAGCTGCAAAAATTCCAGGTGCTTGCCCCCGAATTGCGCCGAAACGGGGCCCCAGGCAATTCTGAAGGGAAACCTCGAAAACTAGGAGTTGTGGGGAGAATTTTGAAGAGGGCGGGCTAGCAGAGATTCTTTAGGAAGGAGCACGCTAGCGGAGATTCTTTAGGAAACGGCAGGCTAGCGGAGATTCTTTAGGAAACGGCAGGCTAGCGGAGATTCTTTAGGAAACGGCAGGCTAGCGGAGATCATTTGGGAGACGAAATTTCTCTACTTTGCTGGTTTCAGTAAGCGATTATAGTGATCGTAATCGATTTCGGTTCCAGCCGATACGCATCGTAAAAATATTGCGATTGATTTGAGTTTTTAAGGGGCAGGAAAGGTAAGAAATAACCAAAAAATGGGCAGGTTTTGACCTAGCCGAGCTCTATAACAGCTTTAAAGGGGCCGACAATTCACCGGTCGAATTGCGCTACCAGACCCAAATGCTCACATTTTTTTGCTCATGAAAACATATTATTCCGTTTTCTGCTCAAGCTTCTGCTGAGCCATACTTTGCAGGGCCACCACGTGC